GAAGTTTGTAACATTTAAGGAATTTATTTTATGAACAAAGAAAAATAAAAGTCAGTAAGTTCCTAATAGGTCATGTTAAATATATTTATCACCAAAAAATGGCATTTTTATAAAGTAAATGAGTTTTTTTTAAAATATCAATTACTGTTCTTAAAACAATTTCAATTCCAAAAATACTTTAATTTACCTTTACCAGAAATAAAGGACCTGTTAAAGGGTTACATTTTCAACTTGAAGGTATCGCGGAATTTATCTCGAAGCATTTTTCTCGCGTTATAGCTTCCTCTTAAAGAGTCTCCACAAATTAAAAAATATTCTACTTAAAGTGTTAGCTTATGGAAAATTAAGTGGACATAATTACCTTATTAAGACACTAATTAATATTTTTGTTTCATTTTATACATTGAAATGTGTTTTTTGAAACCGGAACTGAAATGTGTTTTATTAAAATGAAAGAAAAGAATATTAATTAGTAACTTTATAAAATAAGGAAATAGCATTCACTTATCATTTCTTAGGGTCAACATTATTTACAAACTATCTACATACTTTGCCTAAAAAGGGATACAGTTCCTTTAGGGAACTGTATCCTCCCTCCTTAGGGATACAGTTCCACGGAAAAAATGTCATGTATCAACGTCAATTTATGGTTGAGTTTCTTCATTCTGTGATTCCAGTGACTCTACAGTTATATTCTTATAATAAAAAACAAATTAAGACATACCTAGAACCATTATTAGAAAGATGCCAAATTGCTTTGCACAGCGAATAAATATTTTCGAGTGGTAATTTATTAATTGTGATTCTTGGTTTAAAAAATTCAATTTATTAGGTTTCTAACCACCACTATTTTTAAATATTTCGAAGGCTTATATAATTCGCCACTGTCGTCATTATTAAAGGCAAGCTAAACCTTATAGAAAATAAGCAAAATTAGTCTAATATTTGCCAGTATTAGTTTTTTATTTAATTTAATAACCGTCGTTGAACAGCCGACCTAATGTTTTTATAACTGCTAATGTTCAACTCCGTAGCCTTGTAATTCTGAACCAATCCAGAAGACAAGGAAACTCTTGGATCAGTACTCCCAGAGGTATGGTTTGTTATGGGAACATGGACGACTTTGTGCCTCGACAGATTTAACGTTCATTAGTCACCATTTACTACACGGGGAGTCTTCTGCCAGCAGGGATTTAACCCATGACCTCTTGGACATGGACCCACTGCGCTACCAACCAAGCTATCCCGGCTCGCTAATATTAGTTTGTAGTTATTTACCGTTCTTTAAGTGATTTCGGCGTGTCCGGAGCAGTTAGCATCTCTGTTATTATGTACAGGAGCGCAAGCTGCGCCAAAAAGTAAAAAAAGTGGTGAATTTTTCTGTTTGTGAAAACTACAATTTTAAATAAACAGTTTAATTTAAAAAATACAGACGTCAAGATATAGAGCTAAAAATACTTACCTAACTATTATAAATAAGCTCTGGTCGTTAAGAATGTGTTATTTAACTCGAAAAGAAATAAAATTTAGTAGTTTTATTACCACTCTCCACGTTTTTAAGCGTAGCTCGCACCATTGCATTATGTATTAATATCAAATTTTAAAACTGTCCAATGCACATTATTTTCTATAAATAGAAAAAAATCGAAGAATCACTAAAATAAAAAATAAATGTATATAACAGAAACATGCATAGAAAGGCACTTGAAACTGAAGAATGTTTTTTTTAATTGAATTATTGAGTATATCTCAAGACGATCTCGAGTGGATTGATAAACAAACGGGAAGATAAACTGGAATAAAATGAACTTGAAGAAAAAGAATTATATATTACACACAACTATTTTATTTAACCTATACATCCTTATTTACACTTGTTTTTTACTTTCCATAGGATTCTGATGACATTTGTTGTCCACTAGGAATCAGTTAAAAAAAAGTGATTTTGTTCTAATATCGATATTTTTTCTACCGAGGATTTTTCTTTCATTTGCTTGACACAACATAAGAATCACAAAAAAGTAAGTTTTTTATATTTCGTTTTGTTTTATTTCTTTGAATTTTAGGTCGAATGTTTTAAGTTCTTAATTTTTTATTTTTATATTTTTTATTGCTTAACGTAGTGCACCGATAATTAATTAAAGTAGAGATTTCCAATTTTTCTCGACAATGAAACTCTAAGTAATCCAACTTCTTTTAACAAAACCCCCAACTTCATAAATAAAGTGTACTAGACTTGCAAATAGGATAACCAAAATAAATATAATAAATGAGTGAAATGCTATGAATTATTTTAAAAAATATTAAAAATGAATAATGAAATATTTGCATCGTTGTTTGAATAATAGTCTTAAAATTAGATTTTATTGACAATGGATTGAAGTGCGACACTGCGTCAGTTCACAAAGTGGAACTCTACTAGTTTCATATAAAGTTCCACAAAAGACACTGACTGAAGACTGAGACACAAAAGAACTGAGTTCCACAAAAGAAACTGACATAAATGTCGGGAAAGAAATAAAAAGAAAAGAAGCTTTAATTTTTCTGCACTCATTTTGGACGACGCCAATTTTGCGGGGGTAAAAGGGACACCACTTCCAAATGCTTCGAGCTTTTAGCATGCCATCAATTCCATACGGTTTTTATAAGTAGTCTGCGCAGACTATTTAAAATGTGAACCAGTTGTGCGCATGAACCCAATTTCTATTTTAATACTAATTGAGGGAAATTATATCATAGATATTTGAGAATTGAATCTGCGGTAGTTGACAAGTAAATAAGACAAACCATTCACATTCATTAATTAATAAAATTTTTAGATATATATTTGCTACCTGTTTCTTAATTTCACTAGATTTTTCTATTGAATCGCACTTGTGTAAACTACTTTACTCTCTTATTAGTCTAATCGGACTACCTGTGAGAAACCGTGTAGAGGCTATCAGTTATGGAAGGCGTTGACAAAGCATGCTTTTCTAAATTATCCCAACTTTTTTGCCATGTAAAATCTTCCAAGACGTGTTCTGCTAAAAGAAAAATAAATTAAGTGAGAATAGAAATGTTCACATTATTTTGTTCTGAACCTGTAGATTGTTGAACTGCGTTCGACGGCTGTTCCATAACTTCTCTCTGCCGCAGTTAATCCAAATACAAGTCCCTCGCAAAAACATCACATATAAACTGTGTCACCTATACGGATGAACTTGACACCAATTCTCGCTTTCTAGCACTTTAACACAAATAGAAATTCCTTTCGAAAATATCACACGTAAACGCCAGTCGCAAATTTGCATAAGTCGCGTGTACCCATCACCTCCTACATCAGAAAGCCTCCACACGGTTTCCTATAAGTAGTCTGCTCAGATTATTTAAAAAGCGAACCACTTGTGCGCATGAACCCAAATTCAGATTTGAAAGTACTTGAGAGAAATTTAACGTATATATTTGAGAGTTGAATCTGTAGTGGTTGACAAGCAAATAAAACAAACCAATTATATTCATAAATTTTAAAAAAAAATTTGACATATATTTGCTACCACTTTCTAATTTTTAATAGATTTTATATTAAATGGTTCTTTCACAAAATGGTTTACATTCATAGTGGTGTGATCGAACTACTTACAAAAAACTGTGTGGAGGCTTTCAGTTATAGGAGGCGTTGGTATACCACAGTATGCCTACCACCGAGTAAAAACATTCTAAGCAAACGATAATTTTGCAAGCGAAACCTCGGAAATATTTTGTTAGCACAGGTGAGCAGAGAGGAATAGAAGGTTATCATTCAACGAGACTTGAGGCAGGTGTGGGAAAATGAAAAAATTCGTGATTAGAAATGGAGAAAGTAGCACAAAATAATGAGATCAGAAAACGAGTACAGTACTAAATTAGTACAAAATAATGAGAAGTATTTTTTTTCTAATTCTACGACAAAAAGTTAAGATTTATATTTATTATATATTTTTTTAATATTTTCAAGCTTTGTCATAGAAGTCTTTCAAAAGGAGTTTCTATAATTTATAAAAAAAATTAAAGAAAACTGCGTCTTTTCTAAAGTTATTATCTGGAGAATGTTTGAAGTTATTTAAAATTATTTGAGGAAACGTTACATCGTTTTTAAAGTTTTTTAAACTATTCAATTACTTGGTGACGAGTTAGACAAATTTTAATTGCAGTATAAATAAAGTTGAGAATTTCTATTTTGTTCTAAAAATAATTTAAAAGTTCTTATTTTATTCTAAGAAGTTAAGAATCTTTATAGTTTTTACTTTTTTAAGCTTTGTGATAAATGTTTTTCGACAGGAATTTTTAAAATTCGTTGCAATTTTTGAAAGAAAACTGTTTTTTATGGAGTTTTTATGCGGAAAATGTTTAAAGTTAAAGATTTTTGAGGAAAAGCAACCTGATTTTTAAAGTTATTATTTAGTTGTTGACGTGTTAGACAAATTACAATATACAAATTAAAATTTAATTACAATATAAATAAAATTGAGAATTTTTAGAGAATTTTTATTTTATTCTAAAAAGAATTTAAGAGTTCTTATTATACTCTAAAAAGTTAAGAATTTTTAGAGTTTTTATTTTTTTAAAGCTTCGTGCTAAAAGATTTTCGATAGAAATTTCTAAAATTCACAATTTTTGAAAGAAAATTGCGTGTTTTGTAAAGTTTTAATGCGGAAAATATTTAAAATTGCTTAAAGATTTTTGAGGAAATGCGACATTGTTTTTAATGTTTTATTAAAGTAATTAATCACTTGACATATTAGACAAATTTTAATTGCAATATAAATTATTTAATCTCAATAAAACCTTTAGCATATAAATGTCGTGATTTGCTTGTACTTCTTATTTTTTATTATATATTTTATTACTGCATATTGAAATTTATTAAAAAAATAAATATTTAGGTCGAAAGAATCGCCAAATCAATGTTTAATTAGTTTCGAGTTGCGATTTATCGAACATGCACTTATGACACAAATATTTTATAATGGGAACATTTCAATCAATAAGTCTTTAAATATTTATCATTTAAAATAATAATAATGAATACATTTCCATGCACTTACAACAGCAAACCCAATTGCTTGAAAATTTGAAGCCGATACTTATTAAAAAAATTAACGACTGTTTTATTTTTTAAGAAAGAATCGAGCAGGAACCAGTATAGAAGTAGAAAAAGTGATGAACTTCTTTAAATAATTACGTTCTATTTTTAATCTGTGTCGCAAGAAGGGCTTTCGAAACTGTGTGAAAACGTTCTGTCTCTTCTCTCATACTTATTTATTGGATTAGTTAGTTACTCAGTGCCATCTACTTTCGTTAGTAAGTGATTCGTAATATTTTTATTAGATTATAATAGTTTTAAGAAGATTCTTTTAATTCTGTTAAAATTTCATACATTTTTTTAAAATTAATTTTTGACAAGGATTTTAAAAATAAGTATTTAAAGGTGGTTAACCTGCATAAGTTTAATTCTGTTTTTTTACTAGATAATATAAAAACAAACGAATTAAAATTAGCTTTAATTTAAATTTTTGAAAACATAAAAATGTGTTAGAATTATAAATTCTAGTAACAATGACATGTCCTGAGATTATAATACCCCAACTATTAATGATTTTATTTTTTATTTGTTGTTTATCAAATGCTTGACTCTTGGGGATTAACGAATTTATTTGTGTGACTCACTGTTGAAAAAATGTAAACGAATTATGCCGACTTTTACCCATTAACTTAATAATTATCTCGTTTTTTTTTTAAAAATTTGAGTGAGGAGTTATTTCATTACCTTTATTTATCTTTTTTTATAACCGTTGTTGAACAGCCAACCCAGTTTTGAGTGTACGAGTATCAAATGTTCAACTCCGTAGCCTTGTAATTTTGAACCCAATCCGCAAGATAAGGGAACTCTTGGATCAAGTATTGGGAGAAAGTCTTCGTGGAGGACTTTTTGATGGAACAAATTTGCATTTGCGTTACGTGGATAGGTAAATCACGAAAATCTCTCGCTGTCAGTCTGTTGGTAAGGGGACTCTAACCCTTGATTCGTCAACCACTGAGGATATTTCTCGTCAGCTCTATGGTCGGTGCGAGCCGTGTGCGGAATTCGTGTCAACCAGCCACAGCTGGGATTCGAACATGGGGCACCTCATTGAGCGGTGAGTGCTCTATGCCCTGAGCCACCACGGCCCAGAAACCACTAGCATTTAAAAAGCCACCCCTATCATTTGAAAATCAACACTCCACTACTATTTAAAGAAATTTTAACGCTCGTTTGGTGTCCAACATGTTAACTACAGATAATTTCTGACACTATGCACTTAAAAAGGGCTAATTTTTTTTTATAACTGGCGTTGAACAGCCGTTTTAATTTTTTGTTTACTACTGCTAATGTTCAACTCCGTAGCCTTGTAATTTTGATCCCAGAATACAAGGGAACTCTTGGCTCAATTATTGTGAGAAATTTGTGTTCGTGGAGGACTTTTTGATGAACTAACAAGCATTTGCCTTACTTGGAAAGGAAAATCAAAAATGCCCCTCACAGTTAGCCTGATGGCAAGGGGACTCTAACCCATGGATACCTTACCACTAAGGATATTTTTCATCGGCACTGTGGTCGGTACAAACTGGGTGCGGAATCGTGTCAAACAGCCACTTCTGGGATTCGTACCCGGGAGTGGTGAACGCTCATCGAGGGGTGAACGCTCTGTCTCCTGAGATACAACATATCGGAGACCACTTTCATTTAAAAAAATCCTCACTACCATTTATGAATTACCACTACCATTTTTATAACCGTCGTTAAACAGCCGACCCAATTTTTGAGATTACGACTACTAATTAGGTTAATTAGGTCCCCGACCCCCCCCAAATATGGGTATGCGGGAAAAATTTTCATCTTGTCGCCGTGACAGTCTCCCGCACAGCCGGAGGTGGACAGAGAGTATCTGCCACACGCACTGGCTGAGAGGGCTGGCGAAGCCCCTCCGTGGCATTTATTTAAAAACAGGAAAAAACGGTGTACTATCTTGGCAACAGCCCGGAAGTTATCGGGCAAAAATACAAAAGTAACAAGTTCACCTCTAGAATTAAACGTTTTACATGTAGAGTTAGTTGTGATTATTCCGACTATTAACTATGAGGTGAAATTAAACATCTAAAGATTGATGTTTACAATAAAATATATGAAAAAATCAAGAAATTGTTTTTTTCAAATTACGACTACTAATGTTCAACTCCGTAGCCTTGTAATTTTGAACCCAATCCAGAAGACAAGGGAACTCCTAGATCAAGTAGTGGGAGAAAATTGCCTTCGTGTAGGATTTTTTTATGTAACTGACCCGTATTTGCGTTACATGGAGAGGAAGACCACGAGAACCTCCCAGGGTTAACCGGACGGCAAGAGGACTCAAACCCATGATCCGTCTACCACTGAGGATATTTCATGTTAGCACTGAGGTCGGTGCAAGCCGGATGCGGAATTCGTATCGACCAGCCATCGCCGGGATCGAGCTCCGGTTAACCTCAATGGAAGGCGAACGCTCTATCCCCTGAGCCATCGCGGCTCTACCACTACCAATTAAAAAAAAAATTCGGAGAGTTTGGGATCCAACATGCTAATTGCATCTAGTTTCTGAAACTGCTCTCTTGTAAAGGGTTAATTCAGCCCATTTTCCTATTTATCGGAGACTTTCAGCGTTACACTGGTAGACATTGTAGTGGTTAGAATACAAATGCAGGAAAAAATTACCCCTTTGTTCTTTCTTTTTCTCTATCATGATGTTTTTTTTCTTTTTCTGTATCACGAACAGAGGTGCCTCTCTGCGGAAGTAGGCTGTTGTTGTTCGCATTCTTATGTCTTCTGGTAACATATCAAATAGAAAAATATTATTAAATTTTGATTCGATGCACTGTTGGTATATATTGGTGAGGATTAGAGAATTTTTTATTGCGATGTATGTCTTCGTTACTTGTAATTCAACTGGCCTTAATAGAATATTATTTTTTTTTTAATTTTAAAGCAGAGCAGGTGTCTTAAATACATAACGTCTAATATTTGAGGTAGTTGCAAATTATTATTTTTCTCAGTGTTTAAGCACTCATTTAAATATTCTACCAAATACAGGGTACACACGACCTGGATAAGTGGTGATGGACTTTTCTCAAGACTGCTTAAATTTTTACAAAGTTTAACTTCTAATTTTAATTTTATAAAATCAGTTACGATTTTTTTCCAGACCACGATGAATGAAATTGCTGGGTATCCACAACATTGAAAAATTTAAGAGTAGTGATGAACGTTTCTCTTCATTGCTTAAAATTTAAAAGTTGAACTTTCTATTTAGTTTTATAAATTCAGTTATAAGTTATCACAAAGTTAAGCTTCCTACTTAGTTTTATAAATTCAGTTATAAACTATCACAACATTAAACTTCCTATTTAGTTACATAAATTCAGTTGTAATATCACAATTTATCATTTTGTCAATTATTTGTGTTAATTCAGAGATGGCGCTGCCATCGCATTGCTTTTGGGATTCACCTCCTTTCTAAAAGGAGTCATTCCTGTTCTAACCGGCAACGATCGATGTTGTCCGCCATATATATGTTTTTTCCAAAGAAGTTTTTGTTTTTTAATATGCTTTCGTTTATGTTTTTCCAAAACATGAAAAAAGTATAATCTTTTATGTTTTGTTTTTCCTAATATTTAATTTATGTTATTAAATTTAATTTTGGTGTTTATTCATTAAGTCCATTTTCAACGAACCAAAGAAACTTCATCAGTTTTGATTTTTTTTTCGGACCACGATAAAAGAAATACAGGGTACCCACAACCTGGAAAAATGAAAGAGTAGTGATGAACTTTTTTTAAGACTGATTAAAATTTCATTAAATTAAACTTCAAATTTAGTTTTGTAAAATCAATTTTGAAATGTTCGCTCTACGATAAAATGAAAATAATTTTAGAAGATATGAATACTTAAAAGTAAGTATATTTTTCAAAATCTAGCTACCACTTTAAAACAAATATTAAGCCATTCCATATGAACAGGGTTGCCACTAAAGAATAATTATTTTTAAAAAATTGTCCAAGACATCTCCTGTGCTTCAGTGAAGCGCTCTAGGTTAACCCCCCACCCCGCCCCGCCGTTGTTGAACATTGGTAATCGTAAACTCAAAATTGGGTCGGTTGTTCAACGACTGTTCTAAACTAAAAAACAAGGTTACTTAACTTTGAGTAATGTCTTAGATGAACGTAATTTGTTTCAATAAATTATATGCATTTTGCAATTACTTCAAATATCTCATTTTATGTCCATGTAAAAATAAATAATTCAAATCAGGAATTGTTTTCATTTTTATTAACGTATCGCCATTATTTATTCACATAAATTCTTTACTTTTAAATTCCCTTTATCTTAACCATAAAATTAAAAAAAAAATCTAACCTTAAAGATAAGAAAACATCTGGCATAGAAAAAAAAATCATGAAATGCTGGAACTTAATTTTACATAAAGTTTTACATCTTTCCTGAATAAAATTTTGAAATTTGATTCTTGTACAAGAATATGGTTTAGGTATACGAGAATGTAGTTAAGGTTAAGTATAAGGTAAGGTATGAAAATATAGTAGACTATAGGTAAGGTATACTTGCAGAGCTGTCAACAACATTTTGACGTTGTCTTAGTAATTTGTGATTATATGCCACGCTTGTTACATCGAGCTTTTACTGTAGAATCATTAAAATTTCTGTAGTAAAATGTCTCTAATTTGTTTAGCAATTTTTCTTGTTGTTTTTAGTGATTCCAGCTCGCCTTGTATTGACAATTCTTGTCTTCTTTGGCTACATTGCCATTTCTGCAATGCGAGTGAATCTCAGTGTAGCCTTAGTAGCCATGGTTGGAATACCTCGATCTGGCAATGGAACTAATGAAACAACGATTACGTGTCCGGAACTTATAATTACTAAAAACGCAACAATAGACGAAGATGAATTTTTAGTAAGTTTTAAATTTAATGCATGTTTGAATTAACTTAATTTTGAACTTATTTAGACTATTGCCGTCAAGGCATTTATTGGTTGGTTTGCTTTTATTTGTGATATATATTTAAAGGAATTAAAGTTTAGTCAGCTAAATCAGTAGTTACCATTTCTTTCAGCAATTGGATCCTTGGTTTTTGTATTTTAATAAACAATATAAAGATAATTTGGAAAGTTTTTAACAATACAACACACTATTTTAAACTATGAGAGGAAATAAATTTTTTCCTAATTTCATTATTAATAATCTGTATTCTGGTTTTATATCCAACAGTTAAATACACAGTCCTGGAGCTGTATCTAATCATATCAATATTTTTTTGTGGTATATAAATATAATAATGAAATGAAATTAGATGATTTATGGTTCTCTTTGAAAGGAAATAACACAGAAGAACTGCTGTAAACGGTTATTATAGAAAGACATTAATTTGTAGTAAATTTAGTTATTTTATTTCAATTTGAAAAACCTGATGCCAAAAAGTTATGCTGTTGTTGTTGTAGTTCATTTACGTCGCATTAGAGCTGCACAATGGGCTATTGGCGACGGTCTGGGAAACATCCCTGAGGATGATCCGAAGACATGCCATCACAACCAAATACTTTTGCAAATTTTCAGAAATGCATGTCCTTTACATACTTTTTTTCATGTTTGTTGATATTAAAAGTAATCTTTTCTTTTAAAAGAAATGGCCCTTTGATTTACATTGGCATTTAACTTTAATTAGTTTAAGAAAAGGCAACCGAAATATTAGTTAAACTATGGATTGTTGATTTAATTTAATGTATACTATTAGAGAACCAAATGAAACTGTTACATTTCAAGAACGTAACATGTCATTTTTTCGTGGTTGCAGAAACGTCCTAAACGTTGCTAGTAACTTCCATGATGATTACAAAAACGTCAAATTGTCCGTGTCATAACAAAAAATATAACAGAAACATTTTTTTTTAAACTTAAAACATCGAAAAAGCATAACGATTACATAACTACTCTAATCGTGCTTCCGGAAAGGTTTCTGAAATTTAACTGGGATATCAGTTGGATTCCAGAAAGCTTACAATAAGGTAACAGTAACTTGTATCGGTAGCGCTAGGGAGGGGGAAATGGTATAATGGGGGGTCTGAACCATTGGCGGAAGGAGCGAAAATCCCAACTCCACCGCAAAAATTCTCTATCGAGACCTTTTGGGGCAACATAATTAAGAATTTGGGGTGAAAAACATTATAACTAGTTTGCTGATAAATTTTGGTATTTCTGACAACTTCCTATCCTACAGCATTTAGTAAACAAAATTTATTTAATCCTAACTTTCTTAGTAGTAGTTTGCTTTCATTATAGTTTGTTTCTTCAAAACTTAAATAATAATTTGCTACCTTTAATGCGTATACTTTATGATTTCATTATTGAGAAATATATTAGAAACAGTGATTACGAAAAACCATGTATATGTTACCGTAAAGAGCATAAGTTTCACACAAAAAAGAAAAAAAACAGAAATAGAACTACTAATGCAAGTTACAAAAAAAAAGTAAACTCACATTTCGAGCTGTAAGTATTTCTGTAAACATGCATTTCGAGCTGTGATCAATTTCGTCAACACAGATTTTGATATTTCTTCAATTTTGTAAACACACAAAATTCGAGCTGCTTCTATTTTTTTAAAACGCGCATTACGAACCATAACCAATTTCGTAAATCCGCACTTTGAGTTGTGTCCATTTTCGTAAATACTCATTTCGAGCTGCGTCTACTTTTGTAAACATGCATTTTGAACCATGACTAATTTCGTAAACACGCATTTTGAGTTGTGTCCATTTTCGTAAATACTCATTTCGAGCTGCGACTACTTTCGTAAACACGCATTTCGAACTATGACCATTTTCGTAAACACTCATTTCGAGCTGCGACTATTTTTGTAAACACGCGTTTTAAGTTGTGTTGTAGCAACGACATCGTCAAGCTACCACAGCTCCACCACATACTAGACAGCGGATGCTCAGACTTCGAACCGAGTGGACTTTCTTCTTTATTTCTCCTTCTCTTAATTAATGAAACTTATGTTTGTTTTTCCGTGTGCTATATGTATATTATTAAAATTATTTAGCACCAAGCTTTTCCTTATTTTAAACCCCCCAAGATCACAGTGTTAATTTTCGCAAACACGCATTTTGAGCTGTGTCCAGATTTAAAAACTCACCGTCGAGTCATTTGTTTCAGCCAGATGGTGAATTCGAATGGAACTCAGATCTGCAAGGCCAAGTTGTTGGCTCCTATTTCTACGGATACCTTTTAAGCCAAATACCAGGAGGAATGATATCTGAGAAATATGGTGCCAAATGGGTCTATGGCTTAGGAGTCTTCGGTTCCGCAATTGCTTCTCTACTCACACCCATAGCTGCAAGGTTGAATGTATGGGCATTGATATTTGCACGAGTCGCAGTAGGATTTTCTGGCGTAAGTATAAATTGTTAATATTCAACATTTATTTTATAATTAGAAAATCTTGTTCTGTTCTTATATTTAGGATTCTTTCTTCCAAAAAAAGAGTTAGACAGGGAATTAAATAATTGTAAATGCTTGAACATACAAAAGTTTTTATTTTCTGCATTTATCATAAAATTGCAGTTCATGTGTTACCAGTAAAGTTCTAATCCATTGATGTGCGCATTTCCTATCTGATTTGCAGATGTATAAAGGTGTTGCAAATTAAGTGCAATAAAGAGTTTCCCACATGATATGGAAGTAACAAAGTAAGTTCTTTAACAGCATCAATATCATGACAGTTCAAAAACTTCTTTCTCTCTATACATAGACACACATATGTATTTCAGACTCAATGTAAATTATAGTACTTTTTAGCAGCAAAAGCAGTTTAGCAGTAAAGATTTTACAAAGCGAAATTATTGGCATAAGTAGAAAAAATATTCTTAAAGCTTTTAGAAATGGTGCCCCTTTTACTCATGTAAACTTTGCATCGACCAAAAATCAACTGACTCCAGACTTAAGACTAAAAACGTTTGACTTTAAACATATCACACCGTAAAATGAATTGTATTATCTCCTTTTTGATTCTAGGCCTCACGAGCAGAGAAGTAGGGACTCTTAGTATTCACAAGAGGAAATTTAAAAAAATTCTGATTAGGGAATATATTATTAAATTGGAAAATAAAATTTAGCTTTTAGAGACAAATTGAGTCGATCACTGGTCTAGTGATTACTGTACTACACTACGGGGCTCGTGGCTGTGGGTTCGAATCCCACTGTAGGCATGGATGCAACTTTCTTTCTCTCTCTCTCTCTCTCTGTTCTAGCCCTTTATTCTGTGTGATTGTCTAAATGTAACCCACCCAATAAGCGGGTTTGCGGTTGTGTGACGTGGGCGTATGCTACTCCACAGCCGTGGCTTAGCCACAGGTGCCCACTGCGTAACGATAGGAGAGTAGCATTTCTTAGGCCTATGGGAAAAAGATCCAAGTGCTCGTCATTAAAAAAAAAGAAGAAACAGACTGGCAAACTTGAAATCAACGGAGCAATGATATCTAAGATCTGCTCAAAAATCTCATGCTACAGGAAAATGTGCTTCCCTGAGTTACATTTTATCTTCGATCTAGAATAATTTCTCTGACATTTTTACACAGGTCGTATGTGCCAGACAATGTCTTACGCCTCATTTGCATTACGACTGGTGGTTGCAATGTTGAGCATTTGTTGCAAGCTTTGCTGATAAAAATCACTTCGTGTTGACGTAGTAAATTAACAATACTCTCTTTCATGTATCAATGTCCAGAAATCGCATAAAAAATCTTTTCCGACCTTGCATTTTTGTCAAAAATCCCATTAATGTATCCAGTGGTACAAGATACATATATAGATAGTATACGGTAACAAGAGAGATATTTAAAAGTGGTGTGCTGCATCATCCCTCAAAAATTGTCTCATGTGAATTATTCATTTGTTTTTTTATAGTGATTTACATTATTAATATGATGTGATATTATCTTTTTTTTTTAATCTTATGTTCAGGGAATAGCTTATCCTGCAATGAATGTTTTGGTCAGTCGATGGGCACCCAAAATGGAAAGAAGTCGTATCTCAACAGCGATGTATGCAGGTGGATTGTTAGGAACACTCATCACNTCATATTATATGATATAAGATTTTTTTTTTAATCTTATGTTCAGGGAATAGCTTATCCTGCAATGAATGTTTTGGTCAGTCGATGGGCACCCAAAATGGAAAGAAGTCGTATCTCAACAGCGATGTATGCAGGTGGATTGTTAGGAACACTCATCACAAATGCCTTTACAGGTATTCTGAGTGAAAGCACGTTTCTGGGTGGATGGCCGTCTATATTCTATATATGTGGTAAATATTCTACACAAATCGTAATAGTTCTATGTGTGTATTTCTAACCAAATATAAGTCAAAACTAAAATGCCTCTGTTTAGAAGTTTAGTAGACGAGTTTATTCTTTTCTTAGCTTATTGAATTTACTGCTGCAGTTATCTGTACATATTTAAATAGTTAAGTTAAGATCTGTCAGACGTGTTTGGAACGTCGAGTTCTTTTACACCTTTTGTCTCCAAACGGTTCAGTTGACTATCCTGAACGTGTGGTTTCTACAAAAAATGTCCGGGAAGTGAATTTCCAACCATATATGTTGTTTACTGATGAGGCTATATTCAATAGGGAATGTGTATTCAATTCCCAAAGTCAGCATTTGTGGGCTCAACAAATCCCGTCTGTGTGCGGCAACACGCGGCAATATAACGCTCAGTTAATATGTGGGCAGGTTTGATCGGTGACTGCTTAGTCTGGCCTCACGTTTTACCATTCAAATTGAATGCCGCGAATTATCTGATATTTCTGGTGCAGGCTCTTCCCGCGTTTCTTGACGATGTTCCAAAAAATTCGAAGCGTAACATGTGCTTCCAACATAATGGGGAGCCTGCTCCTTTTGGATTGGATGTTTTTGGCCATTTGAACAAATCATTCCCACATAGATAGATTGAGCGTGGAGAACCAGTTCCCTGGCTCCCACGCACACTGGATTTATTGAGTCTTCATTTTTTTTCTGTGGGTATACTGTAGAGTCTAAAATGGATAACACGGCAAGATTCGACTGCGCAGCTGCTACAAAGGCTGATGGCGTAAACTTCCAGCATATTTTGCGACACCAAAGCTGTCCTACACTATTTGTATTCCTTATGTGCAATAAATATTTCAAATTATTTAATCTCTTGTTTCCTTTCCCATCGCCTACCTCTACTACCACTTACCCCTGACACTTCTGACCATAGTCTCCTATGCAATTCTAAATCCTTATGATGTTCCCTACCTATTTATTAAGACTTCTACAGAAAGCGGAGCAGTTGGCATCCATGGAAATGATACTAGTTCTCCAAAGAGATTTTGAAATAATTAGTATCCTTACTTGTTATTTTCAAGAATAACGATTAATGAATATCGGTTAATGAAAAATTAGTTCATGAGAACTTTTTCATATAAGAGAATCGTAAAAAAAGGCTATATTGTTATTGACGCCTAAGAAGTTTAATTAAGTTTGGTAATAGTTACAATTTGGGATAAAACAATTATACTAGAAAAATAAACGTTAAAATGTTACTCATTTATCCAAAATCACCAAAAAAAGTCACAATGTTATTATTGATGCTAATTATGGTTCATTAATTTTGGCAGTATGTATCACTCATATTGTGTTAATTGATGTATTTAATAGGTACTTAATATGAAACTATTAGTAAGTACCAAGATACATATTATAGGTACTGTGGAAATAAGATTTTACTGAATAAAATAGTGGATTGTGGGTGCGTGGAATATGTGATTATCAGGAGTTGACCTCGACCAATATTTTTCTGTTAAACGATACTCAATATAATTAATCTTTATTTTGTAGGATGAACTTTAAAAAAAATATTTTAATAAATTTATTTTAATAATAAAAAGCTACCAGGAAATAAAACAAATAGTTATAGTAAAAAAATTGAAATTTTTGAAGTTTAAGTGTGTCCAAGCAATTGGCATCCCTGTACACTAAAGTTTGAAATCCTTAACAGAATGCAACCATTTCCAAGAAAATTATTGTACTTCCAATTTTTTTTTGAGAAATTATAAGTTTACGAACTTTTTTTTCTAAAAGCAAAGAATGAACTATTTTTTAAGAGTTTTTAACATGTTTGTTTTTTAACCTTCTATGCTTGTTATTATTCAAGCTATTCTTCATTTATATAAATTACTTTTAATATATCATTATTGAGCAAATAAATACCGAGCAATATTTTATTTCAGGAACATTAGGATGCTGTTGGTTTATCTTCTGGGCAGTGCTAGCCTATGACACACCAGATGTCCATCCCCGAATCTCTAAAGAAGAATTAGCATACATCCAAGACAATTTAGACAAATCCAAATCAGATGTAAGTCAAATTTATTAAATCATAAGGTTTCTTGCATTTAGTAAATCCCTTGCACCGAAATTGAAAAAAAAATATTCGAGTTTATTTTGAATTATGGCGGATATAATGTGAGGAAACAAAAAATCATTTTTTAGATAAATAAATAAAAATCTAGCTTACGTTAATAATAAACTTTAAATTAAATAAAGAATACTATGTATAACTCAAAAAGGGCTCAAAATTTGTAAATATTTAACTACTATTTAAGTACCTTACTCAAAATATTACTTAACTACCATAGATAGAGAAGCGATGGCTCAGGGCATTCGCCTTTCAACTATTGGACCCTGGTTCGAATCTCAGCAACGGCTAGTCGATACGAATTCCGCATCTTCCACTGTGCTGACACAAAATATCATCAGTGGTAGACGGATCGTGGGTTTTGCTACCACTTTTTCTTCTTTTCCATCCTGCTTTCAGCTCTGCTTCGAAAGCTTAGGATTCTTGTATTCTATTCAAGAATGTTTAGAACTCTATTTCGTAGAGAAAGGGATAAGTGTTGACACAACTAACTGTTTATGTAATTTCGACGCTATTATTTACGCAAATCAACGCTCATCGTCCAAGTCACAATTCACGCACGTAGTTGAACTTTATGATGAGAGCCACTTTCAACCTTACAATTAAAAATAATAAGAAAACATGCCACCAAGTAATATTCTTATTATATTTTATCGAAATTTCATGTTTTGATAGTCAATACAAATTTTTATTTTACACGACTAGTATATATACGTTATGCTCACGGCTATAGAGATTTCGTCCGACGTGTATTCATGTCAAACACACTTAACTGGTGTAATGAATTCAATGATGTATACAAATAATGACAGGGAAATTAAAAATTTTATTGTCAACCTTTTTGAATGATATTAAACTAGCACGAAGTATTTTATTTTTACAGGATGCCAAAACTCCATGGAAATCCATATGGACATCGATGCCATTTTGGGCCTTGATTGTAGCCCATTTCGGACATGATTGGACTTTTTACAATTCGCTGACTATGATGCCAACATACCTCTCAAATGTTTTACATTTCGACTTAAGAGATGTAAGTTTTTGTTCTCTTTTAAGCGGTAGATTAAGAGTCGTATTATTCGTTAATTGCTTGCCAAGTACTGACATCACCTCCTACACCAGAAAGCCTCCATACAGGATTTTATAAGTAGTCTGCGCAGATTATTTGAAAAGTGAACCAATTGTGAGCATGAACCCGAATTCTATTTTGAATGTACTTGAGAGAAATTTATCATATATATTTGAGAATTGAATCTGTAGTGGTCGGCAAGTAACTAAGACAAACAAATCATATTCATAAATTAAACAAATTTTTAGACATGTATTTGCTACCACTTTCTAAATGATTTTCTATTAAGTGGTTCTTTCGGAAATCGGAATACCTATAAAAAACTGTGTGGAGGCTTTCAGTTATAGGAGGCGTAGGTATAGGTTACTGGAATTTATCTAGCATAGAGTAATTTATAAAAAGAAAATCTAAGTTGTATCTTCTTATTTAGCATCCATTTTAGTTTCTTAATTTTAAAACAAATTTCTGTTACGTTATTTAATGAGAAAATATCATTTTTTTCTCGAATTATATATGAATGATAATATTCATCTCTCAACCATCTGATCTGTTTTGTTGGCGCAAATCATAGCTGAGTATTTCGTTACATCACTCGATATCACGTGAACCGGCAACGGTAATGTGCAATAAAGTGATAAGAAATTAATCAAGAAAAAAAAATGTGATAGGAAATGTGGTTATAATAAGATCGGAAAGTAATGACATTTTCTGTATATTTTGGGAGAAACGAGATACTGGCATAAATACTGGATTGACGAAAGGCATGTGTACAGCCGTAAAGATATATATTTATTCTTAGTGGTAGCTAATTATCTTAATTTAAAATAGTTAACAAATAAATGTTAAATTTTCAACCAATGTTAACTATAATAATTTTTTATTTTTATTTTATTTCCAATGGCACATTAAAAGACAATTGAACATCAAAAAAATAACAATAAATCTTTAAATAAGAGCGAGCAATCCAGTAGCGTTCCCAAATAGAATTCCGTGTGAGAGCAGGGCACCTTGACAGGTATCTTATTTACCTGTCAACAACCGCAAATTTAATTATCAAATATAAATGAAAAATTTCTCTCGGTAACTTTTAAAAAAGAATTCGGGTTCATGCGCACAACTGGTTCCCTTTTTAAATAGTCTACGCAGACTACTTATATGGAACCGTGGGCTTTCTGATCTAGATGGTGATGGCTGAACACAGGCAGTTCTAAACTTTGAGATTCTACAACAATTAACAATTTACATTCACGGTTCTTTGAAAATCATAAAAAGAAGGAGGGGAAAGCGCACGCAATCATTAAGATATTGTAAGACACAATCACGCGCAGACAATTGCACAATTATCCTATAACATTTGGATACCGTAAACTAGTTGCTAAAGATTAGAGTGTAAAACTTTTAATATTCCAAGCGGTAGAGTGCAAATTCATAGAGCCAAATAGGAGCCTTGTAGTGCAAGGGATTAAGCAATTTAATTCTGGATGAGAAGAGATCTGCTGGATGGGCTTTAATAAGCCACCTCTGGGGATAAGACACCGATACTTCACAAATGACAAGTCAGTGGCTTATTATGAAAATTAACCCAATAAGAAATAGGAATTACTTCATTATTTACCTGGTTGACAAATTCATTCATTTCAGAAATAAGCAAATATAAAATAATAGTAGACATGTTTCAAACGCTTTAAAAGCTTTCACGACTTGTCAGGCGTAAAAGTAAAGAGACAGAAATGATTTAAAATATACAAACGTAAAATTGCCAACGAAGAAAGGAAAATAAATGTGACTAATAAGACTAGGAAAGCCACAAAAGCCGAGAGAAAAAAAAAGATTAAATTCAGAACAAGAAAAAACACAGTGTCTAAAAGGCAAATTAGAGTAAAATGCATTTCCACGCTCTATAGAGAGGTAGGATAAACTAATGATGTTAACAAGGCAATCAGCATTTCAATGAATAAAACAAGATTCCAAGGCATCAAAAAATGGTTCAGTTTCTTGGAATTGTTCCTTTAACTTAATTATTTGTTTGATTGATTTAAAAAGTTTTTCCATTCTTAGTCGAATTTTAAAAATATTTTACGGTAGAAAATTTAAACGATTTATTTTCTTTAAGTAGTATTTTCAGGAAATTCTCTAAATTTGTAACTTTATTTTATTTTTAGAATGGAATTTTGTCCGGCCTCCCATTTTTGATGATGTGTCTTTTTGCGTTGCCTGCAAGTGTTCTTGCGGATTTTCTCAGAGCAGGTGGTTATCTACAAATCACCACAATTAGGAAACTCATAACCGGAATTGGTAATTTATCATCAGTCATTCCCATTAGTTTTCTCAAAGAAAAATTTATAAATTGAAGTTTATTCAGGTATTTTGCGTTGAAATGGTGGGCAAAAATGCTCTTGATTTTCCTATTTAGACGTCTTAAACTAAAATTGATAAACTGTAATTTATTGCAATAGTTTGTACTGATAGTTTGTTTTGTTTTAATTTTCCATCTAATGTTTTCATCTATTTTCCGTCAATTTTTTTAAAAAGCAAAAACAAGTTCTTTCTAACATTGTATCAGTGTTGCCAAAGCAAAACATATTAATACAATAGTGTGAGGAGTACTCAAAAAAAAAATTGTAAACAAAAAATTTACATATTAAGTAACAAACATATCACGCAAAAAACAGAAAATAAAAAAATATAAAATGTAAAGAAAAACATGAGCAAAACACGTAACGAAAATCTAGGCTGCGAGTAGCGAACTCAAATGCACCTCCCCGAATGGCAACGCTAGAAAATTGACCAATGATTGCCGCTAACAATGTCACATGCTAAATCTAGATGAGGTGGCTCAACATATAACGCCTTTAAAAACGGAAACTGAAATAACAATTCAGCTACGGCAATCTCATACTATTAAGCTAGGCAGAAGTGAGTCTTTGTCGATAGATCTCTATTTTAGTTTTTTGTCGAAAGCGTTTTTTTTCACGAATTTATATTTGCGAATTTATTTGACAATTTTTGATTTATATCACGAATTTATTTGTTTTATTATTGTCATTAGTTATTCATTGAAAAATGAGTCTCTGTTAATGAGTCTTTTTTTGAATTCAAATTTATTTTAATGACTTAGTATTTACTAAAACGATGTAATTTTTTTTTAATAAAAAAGTTGTTAAATGGATTTGAATGATTGTTTTGAATTCTAAGAACTTTGAGCATTTGCAATGTATTTAAGTTAGTAGCGAGCGAAGCAAACTATACAAGATTGCGTAGCAATTTTCGGGGGTTGGCGAGCGTTAGCGAGCAGGGGGAGCAGCCCACTAGTATATAATATATATACATAAGATCTTTATGGATGCATATGCTCAATAAGCTTTTCCTCTTTCAATTTCATAATTTTAGGATTTTTCGGACCAGGATTGTGTGCAGTAGCTATAACCCTTATTGGTTGTCGACCAATTATTATAATCATATTATTATCTTTATCTTTCGGCTTGAATGGATTTATATATTCAGGATTCATGGTTAACCACGTTGATATGAGTCCACGATTTGCTGGTAAGTATTGTTCAATAACGTATTTCTTTTTTTTGAATATTTTATGTTGACATTTTTATAATAATTTTTCATTTAATTTTAGAAGAACTTGGTAGAATGCATAACCTGTATTAGCTTTGGTATTAACCAATGTAGAGCAATTTGTGTTAAAATATTTGTTTAAATTTTGTTATAATAATAACCAACTCTGCGAACTTACTGTTATTTTTGAGAAAGATCCCTTCTCGTGATTGTTAGTTTTTTATTTTAAAACGTTATTCCTTGCTTTCCAAGTTTGATTTTAAGTTATTTTCTACACCACTACATGTAAATATTTCAAATGTTTACAAAAACGCCACTTGCTACCAGCCTCCTCTTCGCGAGCCATTTAAATTGATGTCCAAATTGCCAACAAATCTGTAAGCTCTAGGTTTTAATTGTCTACAAATATTTAAAATATTTTGAGAAAAAAGTAGTGGTTTTCAGACCCGATTTAAATATCTACAGTGACTTGCAGAAACGATTGACCTATATATTTTTTATAACGTTTTCTAGCTTTGTGTTGTTTAAAGTAGAGGGGAAAAAAATTGTATTATATTTATTATTATAAACAATTTCAAGTAGCATCATATTATTACTTATTTATTATTTTTATTTATATAAATATTTGTAAATATGAATAATAAACTTAACTGCAGTATTTTTGTGTTCAAAAGTTCCCAGCCAGATTATAGTATTAATTTAATTAAAATTATTTTTTAAAATTACCACTTTCCTATTTCTAAAAAAAAGCGAAATGTGATAGCAAATTTTTTTTCGTAATGAACGTTTTTGAAGGAAAAAAAGACAATGGAGACTTATAACGTATTCAGTATTATATAAAGCAGGGTTGCCACGGGTGACTAAAAATGCAAAAAGTGGTGACTAATAAAATCCTAACTTTTATTAAAATTCACAACATTATATAGCATAATTATTTTTCAGTTTACTAATGAAAAGATATGCAAAGAGTTTTTCTTCATTGATTTAAATATGAATAATTTGAAATGCAAGTTATAGTAGTAGTTACTTTAGAATAATTAGAGAGATAATAAATAAATAAAAATAAAATTAGTTTCTACCACTTTTAACATTTTCAGTCTCCTGTGGCATCCCTGTATAATAGCAGCTAAATTCACTTTGGGATATAATAATAATTCATATTTGGATTGGAGGATTTAAGGTCGACTAAAATTGTAAATCACTGATTCAGCATTTCCACGGGCGAATAAAAGAACAAAATGTGGTTAATTATAAAATTCAAAATTTTATTGAATGATATTAATATTAGCAACATTTGCTTGCAGTTTCTTTTTCAGTTTACAATAGTATCTTGCTATAGAGTGATTTTTTTAAACATTTACGTCATTTAAAATAGTAGTTACGATTGAATAATAAAAGAGATTATACATAAATAAAATAAATAAAAGTTAATTAAGTTTAAAATATATATATATATATATATATATTACTTTTTCAGTCGCCTTCGTTCTTCCTGCTATTTAGGAGGACAAATAAGCACTCATTTTCCTTGTTACACCGTGCTTGCAGTATGAAATAAAATTAGGCCAATAAATAAGGGATTAGGGGCCGTTCAGAAAGTACCTACGCAAAAATGGAGAAATTTTAACCCCCTCCCGCCCTTTCGTACATTACCGTACATAAGGTCTTACTCCTCACCCCCTTAGAGTAGGTACATTTTATTAGTCTATCCCCCTTTTTCATAAAAATTAAAATAATTATGTTTTAAAAAAATTAAATATTTATTTAAGGAGTGTGTAGGAAAAAGTAAAATTTAAATTTGGTGTATGCTTATAATGTACGTACTTTGTATAATACCTTCCCCCCCCCTCCCCATCGTACAAAACCGTACAAAATGGCAAATCCCCCCCCTTTGGTATATACGTACTTTTTGAACGGCCCCTTATAACTAGAAATAATTATTTCTAAAATGGGGAAAGTTTCTACATTTAACTCACGCTTTTATATGCTCTAATGCTTAAGTCATATAATGATTAAGTAATGAGTAACTAAATATTACTTTTCTTCTTTAGGAACTCTCTTTGGAATAACAAATGGAATTGCGACATTACCAGGTTTTGTGGCACCAGCATTCGACGGATACGTTCTCCAAAGTGGAGTACGTTCCTATGTGTTTCGTTAAGTTAATATTTAAAAAATTTTATTATTAAGGATATTTTAGTGCAGCGATTGCATTTTTGGAGGAGAGGTGAGCAAACCATAAGAATTTTAAATCATATGAGAAGAATGGTTCAAATCCATTTCTTTCGCAAAATGATGTTTGGATAGTAATCTGCTGCATTCTGAGGATTACCAAGTTTTAAAAAATCAATAAGGGTGGGGATAGCCTGGTGGGTTAGACGTCGGGCTTTAGTACGAGAGATCTATCCCCGCCGGCCGTAGACTTTCCGTGCAGTAAATGGTGATTTACCGATAATATTGTGAAACCAGAATTGAATCGTTATGATTAGAAAAGGCTTCAAATCTGTTTACTTCTTTTCAAAAAACACTCAATAATTTTTTTTTTCCTGCGTGTATAAGTCAGTGCAATTTATTTAAATCTGTTTTTTGTAATTCATACTATTTTTATATATTGATTGTACTGTGAGATTACGAATGTTATTCTTTTCATTTTGATTGTGCTTCTGTCATAGGAAAAGTTTTGCAAATAGATAATTTTAAAAATAAAAAAAAAATTAAGATGGTAATTAAAAATTTTCGTTAAAAAAAAAGTTTCAATTAATCTTTTCATGTTATTTTTTTTTGTAAATCTTTTTCTTAATTTACTAATCAAAACGAAACACTTTCTCACACTTTTAAATTGACATCCTGTCCTTTAATCTATTTTTGGTTCAAGTATGCATTAATTAAAAATAAGGCATTTTCCCCTTTTCTCTTTATGGGAATCACGCAACCTATTTAATAAACCAATTATAATTATTAATGTTTCCCTTTATCCCTGAGATCTAATGAAACAGTGGGAAATTCACATCCTACTTTCCCTAGGATTAAAACTAAAGCACACAGATTTTGGAGCGCGATTTGAGCTCCGCCAATGCTAGAAAATGATCTGAGTACAACATGTGAGCTCAATGAAAATATTCTTTCCTTCCAACTGTTGTCTGCGTGGTTGACATTCGACCATGACTGCTAGAATTATATATATATATGTGTGTGTGTGTAAAAGTATAAATACGTTTCTCATATTTTCTTTTTTTCCTTTTTAGCAAACTTTGAGAAATTGGGGATTTGTGTTCTTAAGTTCAGCAACCCTGTATTTTATAACGGGTGTCTTCTACATATTGTTCGCTTCAGCTGATCTTCAACCATGGAATGACCCAGATAACGAACCTACCGACAAAAAAGAAGTGAAATGCGTAGAAAACATTTCTCAGAAAACAAAACTGTAGCGAACTTAGTACTCGGAAGGAGTGATGAATCATGCCCAAAACCTTAAATTAAAAAAAAAATTAATCATCGAGATTTGATTTCCTCTTGTTTATGGCGAGGCGTCTGAAAGGAGAAAAAAACTTGAAACTAACACGTTGGTGATGTAGACATTTTGGACAAAATTATGGCGAGTTCATGAATAATTTTATTTTATTTTTATAACCGTAGTTGAACAGTCGATCCCATTTTTGGGTTTACGACTACTAATGTTCAACTACGTAGACTTGGCATTTTGAATCCAATACAGAAGACAGAGGAATTCCTGGATCAAGTAATGGAAGAAATTTGCCCTCGTGGAGATCTTTTTGATGAAACTAACCCTCATTTGCGTTACACGGTAAGGAAGACCACGTGAACCTCCCACTACTAGCCTGACGGCAAAGGGACTCATTTGTAAACCTCTGACGATATTTCACGTGAGTATTGTGATCAGTGCAAGCTGGATGCGGAATTCGGATCTTTCAGCCGTCCCCAGGATTCGAACCTGGTTCACCTCATTAAAAGGCGAACGCTCTATCCCCTGAGCCATCGCGGTTCGATGTTTAATTTTGAGGAATTCGAACCATTATTTTAAATATGATAAGATTTTTATTTTGTTTTTAAAAAAAAATTATTTCTAAAATTTTTTGTTTTTAAGCACTTTAGAAAGAGATAAGCCTTGTATTACTTATGCAGGCTTTCAAGTATTTTACTAGTTTCATGTAATTAATATGCATATTATCCAAATATGTTTCAATTATATTTTACAAATGCTTAATTCTATGCTACTCAATAACGTGTTGTCTGCATATAACTATATCTGTTATGGTCAATGTGAATAATCGGTTATTATTAATAATAACCGGTCAATATTACTAATAACGAAATAAGCCGGTTAAAGGGAATAACTTGAGCGCATTTATTACCGGTTATTTATATTGATTTATAACCGTCGTTGAACAGCCGACCCAATTTTTGGGTTTACGACTATTAATGTTCAACGCCGTAGCCTTGTAATTTTGAACTAATCCAGAAGACAAGGAAACTCCTTGATCAGTACCACCAGAGGTTTTGATTTGTTATGGGGACATGGAGGACTTTGAGACTCGACAGATTTAACTTGCATCAGTCCCCATTTACTACACGGGGAGTCTTCGGTCCGCGGGGTTCGAACTCTTGGACATGGGCCCAGCTCCCTAACGACCAGGCTATCCCGGCCTTATTACCGGTTATTATCAATAATAACTAATGAAATTTAGTCAATGCCATTCTTTTATGGAGATATTTCCGTATCATGATCTGTCACGATATCTACAATCGCCAAGGCGCCAAATTGATTTCAATTTAAAAAAAAAATTTAGATGTTTGCCCGGCGGTAATTACGAGTTAGTCCCTTTCTGTTATTATTAATCTTCTCATTTTTAGTTTCTCGCTGGCCACTGCCCAGAAGCTGCCAAGACTTGGTGATTACTTTGACATAGATCACGATACGGAAATAAACCCTTTTTTTCTCAACGTGACCAAAAGAAGCGGTTATTATTAATTTTGACCTGTTAGAATTAATAATAACCGAAATTTTCACATATACAAAGAGGCACACCCATGTTCCAATGTTATCTAAACAATTTATTCACATTGATCAAATTTCATTGGCAATAACCAGTTAAAAGTGAATGTTATATCTCTCATTTAACCAAAAGAAGCAGTTAGTATTAATAATTAGAGGATTTATTACTTTAACAGTAACATATCTATAAAAATTTTATTAATAAAAAATAAAATGGTGATAAACTATGTTTTAATTGAAGGTTTCTTTTGACATTCACTTTATTTAATGCCATAAAATGAAACGTAGCAAAACGTAATACAAATTTATGTAATACAAAAAAATATAACAGTAAAAATCACTTTATTATATTTTATTTTTTAATTTCTTGCATAATTGTCTCAAATTAATTTATATGAGCAATGATAAAGTTTTTGAAATAGTAATATTTACAGCTTAGTGTGATTATGCGTTCTTTGAAATCTTTCGTTTCATCCCATTTACTCAGGTAGATGCACATAAGAAGTGTTTTTGGTACTTTGGGATTATCCCGTCGACTTTCCAACGCTCGCCAAATCCTTTGGCGATAGTTTTAGGTTATTCTATTTTATTTTATTTTATTATTATTTTATTTATTTTAATTTGCTTGGTTTTTAGGTTTGGCGAAAATGGTGGACGGGATAATCCCAAAGTACCGTATTTTTGTAAATTATTAAAAATTAAGTTTTTGTAATTAATTAATAGCTCGAGATCATGCTTTCACATTGTGTACTTTTTTTTATGTACTTTACTTACTTACTTGTACTTATTTATTGTGTACTTTCTATTTCCCCTCAATTTTTATAAACTCCTTTTGAAAAAGAATTTAAATGACTAGTGTTTTATTTGACCTTTCGCTTAGGGCTGGTATAACAGATGGACCAGAATGGCAGCTTCGTCATACTAAGCGCCGTAAGAAAAGGGTTAAAAACGTTAAAAAATAGCCAATTTAAATACAAAGTGCATATAAAATATTCTAAATAATAGTATTTTAAAAATAAGAACAACAAAATATATATACTTACCAAAATGTAAAATACAATTGATATCAATAGATTAATACAACTTCTAATTGAATGATATTTTAATTTTTAATTTAAAAGCAAGGAACAAATTTAACGTAAACATGAAGTCAAAGCAAGAACGTTTAGATAAGTTGTTCCACCATATCGCCATAGAAACCTGAAATTCAACAAGCGACTAGGGGAAGGACGATTCCATAATGTTAAAAACTTAGAGTTTCGTCAGAAGAGTGAAAATAGGGAAAGAGGGTAATTACACTGAGAATATTGGGGATTTATTTGTTCGCTTCCTTGGCGTATTGGCTAAATTTCAAAGGTTTACCGTCACCGTTCGCATTTGTTTTTATGTTTATTTTTTGCGACGTTTGCTGTCATTTTCGAACTCGTATAAAATATGTTATTTGTTGAATTTTGTCGTTATGTCTTTGTTTTTATTATTGTTATCTGTTTTGCTTTTGTTTTTTTATTTTTTTTTTACTTTAAAGTTAGTTAGATCTTAATATATGTATGTTACCGGCAAAGTATGAAACACCAGCATTGTATAGAATGCTGGATGTTTTTTAGCAGAGTATGAAATGTGAGAATTATATACATACTTTCCCTAGGCATTGTATATAATGCCTAGGCATTCTATAGAATGACAAATGCTATTTAGGCAAAGTATGAAATAAACGTCCTGATGCGGTTATTATGTAAATGATGTGCATGTTACTGTGAATGACCGAAATTGGTGGTTGTTGACTTTCACCGGTAAATGTTGACAATCACATTGTCGTTTCGGTGATTGTCCGAAATATTTATTACATCCGATTTGATATTAATTTATTCGTGGATATAATTACATTCATTCGATATTTTAATACGTACTGACGATAGATTAGAAGTAGCATCAGTGTTTGGAGTATCGGGCAAATGTATACTGGGCAGTGGCACTAAACCTTAAAAAAACATGAATGCATGGTACACCGGGCAGTGACACTGGACCTTAAAAAAACATCAGTGTAGGGTATACCGGGCAATGGCACTGAACCTTAAAAAAACATCAGTGTAGGGTATACCGGGCAAATGTATGCCGGGCAGTGGCACTTAACTTA